CCCAGAATTCCTTGCCAGGATGGGTGGACTTCAACACCCAGAATTCCTTGCCAGGATGGGTGGACTTCAACACCCAGACTTCCTTGCCAGGATGGGTGGACTTCAACTCCCAGAATTCCCAGCCACATGCTGTTAGATGGGTAGACTTCACCTCCCAGAGTTCCTGAAGGAATGGCTTTTTAAAGTGGAGAAGTACCTGCAATCTAATTAATGTAGAGTTAATGTGCGCAGGTGACAATTTCTTAAATATTTTTAATGACCTTGTGGGGGTCTGTATTTCTAGCTGCCTGTGGCCCATGGGCTGTGGGTTGGACATGTTTGCTCTACCTGGAAAGGCAAAGAAAGGCGGGGCAGGGGCTGGAAAGCAAGGCAGGGAGGGGGTCCTTTTTCCCCCTGTTCCTGGAAGCAAACCTCAAATGACTGTTTCTGTCTTGTTTGTCTCCATTAGGCCAGCTATTACGGTGAATCAAGGAGGGATGAGCAGCCCCCAGAGATTCGCCTCCAGCCAGCAACAGACACGCATATCTGCATCTTCAGCAACCAGAGAGCTGGATGAGCTCATGGCTTCCCTTTCAGACTTCAAGGTGCCCCCTCCCGCTCCCTTGTTACTCCTTTCTGGCCTGGGGATGATCCTCACCCTTAACCCCCTTGTTCACACATTGGCTTCAACCCAAGTGCTTTGGGTAAGGTGGGGCCCCTGGTGCTCTCTGAGCTTGGCTGGTTTTCTTGCAGACCTTTCATGACCCAACTAAGTAACATCATCAGTGCTAGAAGGGAGTGTGGGGTTTGTGGGGAGGAGGAGGAGGAGGAAGACGACTGCGGAATCCTTGGTGCTCTCTGAGCTTGATAGTTTTCTTGCAGACGTTTCATGACCCAACTCGGTAACATCATCAGTGCTAGAAGAGAGTTGGGTTTGTGGGGAGGAGGAGGAGGAGGAGGAGGAGGAGGAGGAGGATGACTGCGGAATCCTTGGTGCTCTCTGAGCTTGATAGTTTTCTTGCAGACGTTTCATTACCCAACTAGGTAGCATCTTCAGTGCTAGAAGAGAGGGGGTTTTGCAAAGAAGAGGAGGAGGAGGAAGAATTGTGAAATTTTTCGAGCTTGTGCTCTTTGAGCTTGGCTATTCCCTTGCAGACGTGTCATCGTCAGTACTAGAAGGGAGTGGGGTTTGTAGGGTAACGGAGGAGGGAAATCTGCCTCACACATTGATTGGGCGAAGAGCATTTTGATCTTAACCATCGGCTAAACGGTTGGGCCCTTGGTCCGCGGCTGACCGTTGGCCCACAAAGCAGAAGCCGCTGGAATGGATGTGCGGCTCTGTGTCCTTTGCCCAGGCTCGCTTTGAGGGGTGGGGTTCATGTATCCAATGGAAATGGATAAATCTTGTCCCTTGCTGGTTTGCAGTCCAAAGGTGACTTCAAAGAAAGACTCAAATCTTAGCTGAGCCTTGGCCCCGATTCTGCGGTTGGCCGCTCTTTCTGAACTCAACTTTGAGAACTGGGGATTGAAAAGTGCAAATCCCATGCTCCTCCTCCTCTTCCTGCCCTTCTCCTTTTTTTCCTTCTCCTCTTTCTCCTCCTCCTCTTCCTCCTTCTCTGCTTTTTGCCCTTCCCCTCTTCCTCCTCCTCTTCTTCTTGCCCTTCTCCTTTTTCTTTCTCTCCTCCTCCTCCTCCTCCTCTTCCTCCTCCTCCTCCTCCTCCTCCTCCTCTTCCTCTTCCTCTTTCTCCTCCTCCTCTTCCTCCTTCTCTGCTTCTTCCCCTCCTCCTCCTCCTCCTCCTCCTCCTCCTCCAATCTTAAAGTTGCCAAGCTGGAGCGATCCTTGATCTCTAGTCCATAAGAAGGAGGAGAAGACCTGTTTTGCAAACTAAGCTGCTCTCAGGAATTATTAGTTCTTGTATGTCCTTTTTCTTCCTTTGCCTTTAATTAACGAGTGAGTTTAATGCGGGGCGCTCTTTATTTTTCTGCCGGTATTTTGCTTTTTTTTCTTCTTCTCTTCCTTCTTCCTTCAATCCTGTTTTCCATCTTTTTCTCCCATCTTCCTTTGTTTCCCCCCCCCTCTGTTCCTTCTCCTCCCCTTTCCTTTCTCTTTCAGACCAGTTCCACCATATCTCTGGCCTCTGAGCCTTCCCTACCGCTGTCTTCTGGATCTCCTCACTTTGGGCCACCCCGTACGGTTCCCCCACGGGCCTCCAAGCCCCCCAGGGCCAAACACGATGGGTCTGACCCAAGTCCCGAGGCCCCTGTGGAGTTGGAGATCCTACACATTGATGAGAAAAGCAGCGGTTTGGCAGCCGCCGCGATCCCAGAACCTCCTTCCAATGCTTTGCATCGTCACCTTGCTGGACCTCGGACCAAGCCCCCCCTTGGGAAAGCTTCTACCCCTCGCCCGAGCTCAGATGGACCCAGCAAAGCCCCTCCTGAGAAATCCCGTGTCTCTTCTTCGGAGCCCGAGTTGCTAGGGATTTGTGCAGATGGGGCAGGAACTCCACAACCCCTGGAGCCAGAAGGACCTTGGAAGGAGACCCTCAACAGGGGACACTTGCCTTCGGTTCTGAACAGGCTTTCAAAGAGGCCGGCCCCGCCAGAAGAGAGGGTTCTTTCCCGCCCCAAAGCTCCTTTTTTCAAGGAGGATGGAATGGGGACGATGGGTTACACCAGGCAGAGCAACTCCGAAACGTCTCTCTTGGCGCCAAGGACGTCTCTCAAGAAGGACCACGTTGGCGTACATGATCTTTTCAACGTCGAACGATGGGAGAGTTTCCCAGGCACCAGCAAAAGCCAACCGGGCTGGGCTGCCCCACAGGCCTTGAACCACGGGACTGAAATCCGAGATCCGGTGAGGGCAAGCAGCTGTCCCGATGTGGCGGAGAGGGCATCCGGGAAGAACGGCCTTCCGGGCGGGGTCGCGGCTGTGCCGAAGGTTGCTGGACGTTCCCGGGAAGAGGAACTGGATTGTATCGCCGGCCCTACAATCTCGGTGGAGAGAATGTCCACTTCGAGCCAGGCAGGCGTCGGGATGAATATGGGGGGCGGGGCGGGGAAAGAGATGAGTGGGGGACAACGAGGGATGGGATGTCTCCATGCCGCTTTTGGTTTGGCTGTGCATGAAACACGCTTATGGAGTTTGCACCTGGATTTAGCTAGTTTTGCATGCTTCTCTTGGATCAGGGGTTGGCAACCTTACACAAAAGACCCACAAAAATCCTAACTGCAAGCCCCACCCCCCACCCCCCGTTCAATTCTGGAGCCAACCGGAAGTCCGGTTCTCCTCACCATAGAGTCTCCTCCTAGCGCGGTGTCCTTTTTCCTCTACCTGTCCTAACCGAAAGCCCTATCAGTTGTGGAGCTGTGATGACCCAAAGGGGCGTGGCACAAAGGCAACACAGTCAGATAATCAGTAGGAGTCCCTTTATTAGCTCCAACTTGGCCCCCAATGTCTTGGTTACCTGCTGGGTTGGAGAAAAAACTCTCCCAGGAACAGCCTTGGGCTGCAGAGAATCAAGTCCAAAACATGGTCAACAAAAACTGTAACTATAAGTCCAATCAAGCAAGATGAGGTAATTAGTCCGGCAGGGCAGGAGAAGGAATTCTAGATGTGAAGGAATGGCAGTAACTCAACATGGTTGGGAAGATGCCAGGAACAGAGATAACTAAAGTGAACACAAGATAAACTCACGTTTGTTCCTAGCACATGCCACACTCAGCTTGCATTTCTTTTAAACTCTCTTCTCAGGTGTGGCTAATGAAGGGAATCAGGGCCCTTTCCTCCCCCATAATCCACATAATCCACATTGCTCTCTTCTCCATTCCTCCCTGCGTGCCCTAGGATGAAGAGGGGATGGGCCTGGGTTTTCCTCCGAACTCCCTCTCCCTTGTTCTACCTCTCCCTTGTTCTACCTCTCCCCTGCTCTGCCCAGCCAGACTTTGCCCTTCCCCAGTTTCCTCCACAGCTAAGGGAACCACACTCCCACTCCCTGTCAGCTGTTCGTCTTCATCCTCGGATTCAGACTCTGACGGGGGCATGACAGGAGCTGACTTGGTGACAGGGAGCCTCAACAGAAGGGTGAAAGAGCCCCATGCGGCTCTAGAGCCGCAGGTTGCCGACCCCTGTCCTAGATAGATGCCACCTGCCTGTGGTGTAGGAGGGTGATTTGGCAAAAAGCGTTGCTCTTAATGTGTTTTGGGGTTTCCACTGGGCGCTCTGCTGAGTTGAGGAAGTGGGGTGCTCTTGGTGGAGAGAAATGGGACGATCTTCGACGATAAGGATTGGGCTCACCTCCAGATTAGGAATCCCCTTCTTCACACCAGGGTTTTTCAACTTCAACCCCTTTAAGATACAGGTAGGGCTGAAAGGAGCTGAATGTTCATGTTTCATCAAGGAGAATATTTGTTGATCAGGGTTGAAATGATAGGGTCCTTGGTGCCCTCTGAGTTTGCTGGTTTTCTTGCAGATGTTTCATTACCAAACTAGGTAACATCATCAGTGCTACAAGGGAATGGGGGGTTGCAGAAAAGAGGAGAAGGAAAGGGAAAGAGGAGGAGGAGGAGGAGAAAGAGGAGGAGAAGGAGGATCGTTGGGTCCTTGGTGCTCTGTGAGCTTGCAGACGTTTCATTACCAAACTAGTTAACAACACCAGTGCTGCATGTGGCTGCAGTTGGACAGCTTTCCCTAATGATGGATTGCCTACTTCTGGCTGTGTCTGAAAGGACTTTCCCTCCAGTTGAGGAAGGAGTCAATTTCTGCTTTCCTCGGCTTATGACCACTAACCCCAGTCAACGTCAAAAGACCGTGTGCTTTGTGCCATCCAGTTCAAGGGGTGGGGGAGAAGCTTACTCAACCTGAACGTTTCCCTCCCCTCCCTTTAAAGATCAAATCCGTGATCAGGAAAACCAAAGAGATCTCCAACGTGCATCCCATGTGCCGCGATCTGTCACCAAGGCGCAAGCTGGGCCCTGTCCTCTTCCATAAAACCATCTCCCAAGACCGCCTGATTGAAGAACTTCAAGACCGGCTGGGCATCAGCCGAGTCGAAGAAGAAAATCAACAGAGCCCCGATGACTGGTTGACCGAGGGGGTCATCATCACCTCCAGGCCTCAGAAGAAGAACAAAGATGGTAGTCAACAAATAGAAAAGGTAGCCAGGAGCTCTGAAAAGGAGTCCTCCAGTTGATAGGAGGAAGGTAGTTTTGGAGCGCTGGTTCCAGAACATCTCCGGTTCCTTCCAGAGAGAACATTTCCATGGCCGATGTCAACTGGCAAAACATTCCCACGCCTCGGCTTCACGCAGGTCATGCTGGCATTGTTGCTCCTAATAAATCTTTTGAATTTTTTTTGAAGCTTATGATTTAATTAGGGCGGTCGCCGGAATCCTGACAGCCGATGGCGGATGGATCTTCTCTCTTCTTGGTCATGCCTACAGCAGATGAAACCAAGCTTCATTTCTTAATTGAAAATTAGGAATTAGCAGAGGGCGGAGGTCCCTTCCCTTGAAAAGCAAGAGGGATCCGATGAGAGTAGCGAGGCTGCCTCTGAACAGAGAGAAAATCAGATCCTTTTTTTGTTGCAGGTCAAAAAGAGAGAGATCCATCCCTTGTCAATTTTGGGCCCGTTTCCCAAAGTATATTTGGAGAATATACCTATTTTCCAAAGCACCTGAAGATGGGACAAGAAGCAATGGATGGAGACCAACCCAAGGAAAGGACCAACCTAGGGGAAATTTCCAGAGAGGGAGAACAATTAATCAGGTGGAACAGGTGTCCTCCAGAAGTTGTGGATGTTCCGTCCCTGGAGGGTTTTTTTAAAGGAGAGATTGGACAACCATTTATATCTGAAATGGTTTAGGATTTCCTGCTTGAGAGAGGGTTAGACTAGAAGACTTCCAAGGTCCCTTCCAACTCTGTTATCCTATTGTTGTTTTCTTCTGAGCCTTAATATCCTGCTGGAGCCCAGAAAGGCTTGTTTTCCTAGTTGATCCCTAGGAAGTAAGAGAAATGTGGTAGTTGCTATCAGTTGAACTTCACACAGTGGCTTAGTTGGTTGGATTTCCGTACAGTTTGTCTCAGAATCCCTGGACTTCTCTGGATTGTTCTCACCTCTCATTGATTTGGGATTCCCAACAGGGGCTGGCCGTGGGTCAGTTCCTTAGACATTGAACGTTTGTAGAACGTTGTAGAGCCTCCCAGGTTTTTTTTTCCGCAAGCGAGACCTTGGGTGGAATACCTAGCACCATCAGATAGTTTTTGAAGGCTCTTCCATCCAGTTGAGGGCAGAAGGAACTCAACAAATGAAAGCCTACAAAGATTCAGGAGAACCTATTTCTACTTGGAAGGGTCTCTAGTTGTTGTCATACCGTTTTTGCTCTTGATTGTGTCCCAAGGGAAGGTTTGTGCCTCTTCAGGAAGGTGAGGTAGAAGCAGGCATCTCCAAACTTGGCCACTTTCATTCTTGTGGACTTCCAACTCCCACAATTCCTCAGCCAGCCATTCTGCTTAGGGAATTCTGGGAGTTGAAGTCCACAAGTCTTAAAGTGGCCAAGGTTGGAGACCCCTGAAGTAGAATACTGTTACATTTCTCCAACCTGTTGCCTTCCAAAAGGGTGCACCTCAACTCTCAGACTCCTTCACCATGCATAGGTCCATTTGGAGTTGACCTCCACCCTTTGGGAAGTGCCCTGGTTGGAGAAGGTTGGCCTCCATGATCTTCTTCTTCTTCTTCTGGTGCCTTCTGGGTAAGGTGTCTTTGGCCTCTTCATGTTTCTCCCTGCTTTTTTCCCCAGGTTATTATTCCTGCTACGTCACCCCTTCCTCTGCGAAGAACCGTCTCTATCCCACCTTCTCCGCCGCCGCAGCTTCCTAAAGATGTCTCCAAGGCTGCTTCAGTCAACGCCACTCTTGGCTCTTCTCTTCCATCTTCTCCTCCTCCACCACCTCCTCCCTTGCCCTCGCCCGCACCGCCACACATCCCTCAGCTGCGCTACGTGCCGTCCGCCCATCCGACTCAGCCTCCCGTCCCGTGGGAAATGCTGTTGGAAGAAGTTTCCCCCCAGCAGGCACCAGCCCCTTCCTCCAAAGCCTCGGTGTCAGTTAGCTGTCAGACAGAGGAGGCCCCCTTCTCTCCACCACAGCAGGCACGACCCTTCTTTGATGTTCTCCTGCTTCCTTAACAGCTTCACAACTCTGGCCAGAAAGGTCGCGAAATGGGGCAAACATTCTGGCCTAGACCTTCCCAAGATCACGAAGCCAACTCCTTGTCCCGATAAAACTCCTTTTATTTAGGTTCAAGGGAATTCCTGTCCAGCAAAGTCCCAGCCAACAGTCTTTCATAAGATTTCACAACTACAGACCTTTATCAGGCTGGGAAAGTTGCCAAGCCGATAGCTTCCAAACGCCAGCTGTAGCAGCAAGAAGTCAGGAACAGATCTTCACCCTAATGAATTGAACTAACTGTCTCCTGCAAACACTACTCCCCTTTCGCTCCTCTTTATGCCCTATGGAAGGAGCCATTCACCGTCCACCTGTGGCTTTAGTCCCGAGTCAACCCTTGTTTCTTACTATTCCCTTCTTCTGGCAGCTCTGTGCATGTGCACACTGGGAACAGGCTCCAGCTGTTCTTCCCCACTGATCTCCCACTCCAAAGGCAGCTTATAACTGTCGGCCCCATCTCTGCCTCCGACGCAGAGCCCTCGTCAGAGCCTTCCTCAGACTCCAGGACTGGCCCATGTTCCCCTCCAACCTCCTCACTGTCTGAGTCTGCTGCCAGCTCTGCTGGCCACTGGCGGGCCACACAACAATTCACGAGAAATGTCTCAATTCAGCACAGAAATTTTCGGCTCCATTGCGGCCGTTAAGTCCAGGAGTACCCATATCCGTGTCTGAGGAGGATGGTGCAGGACCCAATCCTAGATGCATGTTGCTAAGTGAGACATATTAAGTGAGTTTTGCCCCATTTTACGTCCTTTCTCGCCACGGTTGTTAAGATGATTCACAGCAATTGTGAAGCTAGTTCCATGGTCGTTAAGTGAATCTGGCTTTCCCCTTGACTTGGCTTGTCCAAGGGTCACAAAAGTGGGTCAACATGACCCCCCCCCCCCCGGGGACACCTCAATCATCATAAATGTGAGTCAGTTGCCAAGGGTCCAAATTTTGATCACGTGACCATGGGGATGTCATAAGTGTGAAAAAGCAGTCCAAAGTCACTCTTGTTGGTGCCATTGTAACTTTGAACGGTCACTCATTGAACTGTTTGTAAATCAAGGACTCCCTGCATTTTAGAGGGAGTTCCATTCTCCTGGCAGCTCTGTGCATGTGCACATTGGGAACAGGCTCCAGCTGCTCTTCTTCCCCACTGATGTCCAACTCCGAAGGCAGCTGATAACTTTCAGATGGCCCTGGCCCCATCTCTGCCTCTGACGCAGAACCCTCCTCGGAGCCTACCCCAGACCCCAGACTCCTCCAGGTTTTTACCTTCAGAATCCACCCTTCCCCCTTAAAAAAAACATGTCTTTAAATGAGGCACGGAATTCAGAAGTTTCTTAAAATTCAACAATCCAGCCAGCTTTTTTTCAAACGGTTGCAGCCTGCTTAGCTCATTCTGGATTCTGCTTTTCAGGTCCTTCCTGTTCCATCTCTGGACCACCTCCTTGCTACTCTCCCACCTACTCCCGAGAAGGCAGGAACTTTTGCTTGAATTCCTGCTTCAGCATGTTGAGTGGGAAAAAAAATGTCTTTGACCCAAACATGTGGATATCTTGCATGGATGGGGTTTGGTAGAAATGCAGTTTTTGCTGGGTTTTCCTAAGGCTCATTGATCTGTTTTATTGCAAGCTTAAAAAGAAACGGGGGTCAGTTTTTTTAAACCTGGCATGAATTTGGAGGCCTTGTGGCATGATCGTCTTGAGAAGGCGGAGAAATTTGGGCCTGGAGAAAGGCGGCAAAGGGTCTGCAACAGGCATTCAGCAACTGAGCCACTAAAAATTCAAATTCGATGCCAAGCAGTTAAATTTGCTGGTCAGCTGTGAGAAGTGAATTCTAAATTACTGTAAAAGTTACTCTTAAGCCTACAAAAGTTACTAGGTGCCACTGTGGTGAGAATGCAGCATTGCAGGCTAATTCTGCCGACTGACAGCAGTTCGATTCTCACCGGCTCAAGGTTGACACAGCCTCCCATCCTTCCGAGGTTGGTAAAATAAGGACCCAGATTGTTGGAGAGGTCTGTAAAGCACCCTAAAGCAGTATATAAGTCTAAGTGCTATTGCTATGAAAAGCTGTGGTGGTGCAGTGGTTAGAATGAAGAATTGCAGGCTACTTCTGCCGGCTGCCAGCAGTTCGATTCTCACCGGCTCATGATTGACTCGTCCTTCCATCCTTCCGAGGTCGGAAAAAGATCTCACTTGAACGACGTCAATTTTGGGCTCGACTGTGGTCTGGAGTCTGTATTCCAAGCTTTGACGACAATATTCCAAAAATTTTTTTAGAATTTTGTACACTAAAATTTAATGCGGTTTCCTTTCCTTAGCCCCGAGGTCTTAACAAAATTGCTGCATTGTGGTTTGGACATGTAGAACCGCCGAGGAGGGCCCTGTGGTGTGGAAGTGTACTGAATGTCATCCGTGCTTGCAAAATGTTTAGAGTGTGGGTCCTGTTCTTGGAAAAACCATTGTGACACTAACCGCCCCTTCTACCTATCCTCAAGTGTGACCCTTTGCTAGTTCCTGCAGTCACATCAACCATCAACCCCGTGAATGGAAACTCCAAAGCGCTTGTTGGCGTCCCAACGGTTGGAAGGACGCTGTTGTGGTTTTGTATCTCACCGTTCTCTTGTTTTCATCTCTCCTTTAGTTTATGTCGCAGGGAAAAGGAGCTGGCAGCTATCCGCCCACCACCCCTCCAAAGCCAGGCAGCCAGTTGGACAGCATGCTTGGAAGCCTCCAATCTGACCTCAACAAACTTGGAGTAGCAACGGTTGCCAAAGGTGTCTGTGGAGCATGCAAGAAGCCAATTGCCGGGCAGGTGAGCCTCAAGGGGGGGGGTCATTTCAGCTCTTATCGTTTTGAGAACTAGTTTGGTGTTGGGGTGAAGGGGTTGGATGAGAAACCAGGGGTCTGTGAGTTCTAGCACCGCCTCGGGCATTAAAGATGGCTGGGTGACTTTGGGACTATCTTCAGGAGATGGTGAGTTTAAGTTCCACCTTAGGCATGAAAGCTGGCTGGGTGATTGTAGGCCAATCACCAGGAGATGGTGAGTTCTAGTTCCATCTTAAGCATGACAGCTATCTGGTTGACTTTGGGCCAATCACCAGGAGATGGTGAGTTCTAGTTCCATCTTAAGCATGACAGGTATCTGGGTGACTATGGACCAATCACCAGGAGACAGTGAATTCTAGTTCCACTTTAGGCATGAAAGCTGGCTGGATGACATTGGGCCAATCACCAGGAGATGGTGAGTTGTAGTTTTAGCTTAAGCATGATAGCTACCTGGGTGACTGCAGGCCAATCACCAGGAGACTGTGAAATCTAGTTCCACCTTAGGCATGAAAGCTGGCTGGGTGACATTGGGACAACTACCAGGAGATGATGAGTTTTAGTTCCACCTTAGGCATGACAGCTAGCTGGGTGACTGCGGGCCAATCACCAGGAGACGGTGAGTTCTAGTTCCATTTTAAGCATGACAGCTACCTAGGTGGCTTTGAGCCAGTCCCTCTCTCTCAGCCCAAGTCCCGTCATGGCGCCATTGTTGTAAAAACAAGGTGGAAGGACTATGTGCACCACCTTGTGGTGTGTGACAAAGTAAACACAAATATTAAAAGATCAGCGAGGGCTATTAAAACCATGCAGATAGATGAAGTGGCCATGCTGGAAGAACCTAGAGAACACTCTTTACGTCCTTGCAAGGGATAGAATGAGCTGCATTCGAGAACTGGTCTGGCAAAGGTTTTGTATGCCCTAGTTAACAACGCAACGTTGCCGGAGGAGGAAGCTTTGCAAAATAAGGTTAACAACTCTTTAACGCCTTTTTGTTTTGTTGTTTCTCTTTTTCTTTTTCTCCCACCCTAGGTGGTCACAGCCATGGGGAAAACGTGGCACCCCGAGCATTTTGTTTGCACCCATTGCCAGGAGGAAATCGGCTCCCGGAATTTCTTTGAGCGGGACAGCCAGCCCTATTGCGAGAGAGATTATCACAACCTCTTTTCGCCCCGCTGTTACTACTGCAACGGTCCCATCCTGGATGTGAGTCCCTGAGATCTGACGTCTTTACTATTAATTCATATATTTTTTTTCTTAATCTGTTTCCTCTAGAGCAGAGGTCTCCAAACTTGGCAGCTTTAAGACTTGTGGACTGGTGAATGATGGGCTTATTCATCCTTTGTGGTTTCTTCTTCTTAGAAAGTGGTGACGGCCCTGGACCGAACATGGCACCCTGAACACTTCTTCTGCGCACAATGTGGAGCGTTCTTTGGACCCGAAGGTATGGACGCTGGACGTTTTTGCATGGAGCTTGGGGCCAGATGTGCCACTTGTCCTCAAGAATTGAATGTTGGGTCTTAGGACTTGATACACCAATTCCGTGAGGAGTCTCCGATGTTCTCTCAGCTAGCTCTCACAAGCAAGCCCAGAGAGCACCAAGGACCCCACACTCCTCCTCCTCCTCCTCTTCTTCCTTCCCCAGTTCCTCCTCTCTGCCCCACTCCCTTCTACCACTGATGACGTTACCTAGTTTGGGTCATGAAACGTCTGTGAGAAAAGGGAGGAGGAGGAAGAGATGGTGGGATCCTTGGAGCTCTCTGAGCTGGATTGTTTTCTTGAAGACATTTCATTACCCAACTAGGCAACATCATCAATGCTAGAAGGGAAATGAGGTTTGCAGGAGGGAGGAGGAGGAAGTGGAGAAGGAGGAGAAAGAAGATCGTGAGTCCATGGTGTTCTCTGAGCTTGGTTGTTTTTTCCTTGCAGACATTTCATTACCCAGCTAGGTATCAACATCAGTGCTTGAAAGAAGTTTGCTTCTCAGTTTATATTCTGATGGCTTCCACGGTCAGTTTTGCCCAAAGTGGCCTTGCAGGTTCTTTGGGTTGGCCTGTTTACTGTTGTTGGTCCGAGGTTATTATGTTAAATTATATATACAATATATTATTCAACGCAAAGTTGGCTCAGGCTGTGAAGCGGTGTATAAGTCTAAGTGCCATTGCTTTGCTCTTCCTTTTCCCCTCCCTCCCTCTCTCCTTCGCTTCCTGTGCAGTAGTTAGAAAGGAGTATTGCAGGCTAACTCTGCCCACTGCCAGGAAGTTCGATCCTGACTAGCTCAAGGTTGACTCAGCCTTTCTGTCCTTCTGAGGTCGGTAAAACGAGGACCCAGATTGTTGGGGTTTGCAAGAGGCTGACTCTGTAAACCGCTTAGAGTAGGGCTGGAAAGGCACTGTGAAGAGGTATATAAGTCTAAGCACTAAGTGGGAAGGAAGGAAAGGAAAGGAAAGGAAAGGAAAGGAAAGGAAAGGAAAGGAAAGGAAAGGAAAGGAAAGGAAGGAAGGAAGGAAGGAAGGAAGGAAGGAAGGAAGGAAGGAAGGAAGGAAGGAAGGGCTGTGGTGCACAATGATTAGAATGCAGCATTGCAGGCTAACTCACTGCTCACTGTCAGCAGTTCGATCCTGACCAGCTGAAGATTGACTCAGCCTTTCCATCCTTCCGAGGTGGGTAAAATGAGGACCCAGATTGTTGGGGTTTGCAAGAGGCTGACTCTGTAAACTGCTCAGAGAGGGCTGTAAAAGCACTGTGAAGTGGTATATAAGTCTAAGTGCGACTGCTACTTCTTTGCCCTTCCTTCCTTCCTTCCTTCCTTCCTTCCTTCCTTCCTTCCTTCCT